CTCCCGCCCATCCTCCTCCCGTACGCAGCGCGGCGCTGCTACCGCTAGTAGGCGCCTCTCGTGCACATTTTTGATTCCCACTAATCGCATCCGCGGCTGCGCGGAAAGAGGGAAGAGGGGGGGGGGGGCTGGAAGCCGGAGGGGACCCAACAGAAGCTGAGTGGGGGCGTCCCGCCCGGAGATGACAATACTAGACTCGCCTCGTCTATTGGCAACGGGGGAAGGGTGTCACGGAGGCTGGGCTCGAGCTCCTCAGCCCTTTGGGAGCGGTATAACTTGGAAGACGCGCACCGCCTCCCGTTCAGTTGTCGGCGGCGCGCCGTCTGCGAACGAACAAGCCTCTCCCCCGCCATGGCGCCCCGCGTCGTCCTCGCCATCGCCGTCCTGGTGGCGGCGGGCACGTGCGCGGCCTCGGACACCACGACCACCGCCTCCAGCACCACCGCCGCCTCGACCCTGGGCGACGCAGAGGTCCGCGCGCAGGCCGCTCCCGCAGTGGCGGCCCCGTTGGACGAGGCGACGTTGGCCTACGAGGAGGACGAGCATGCCGACAACGAGGTCAGTGATGCAGCTCTATGAACTTAGCACGATGTGTCTTGTCTTAATGACCCTGAAAACGCTTTCTATTTATGAAATGTCGCTGACTTTTGCGCGAGACGCGATGCGGCCGGCCTTTTGCATTGCACTGCTCTGCATCTTACGCATCTTCGGTGACCTCAATTTTACAAGATTGTCGAGTTAATTAGGACAGATAACAATGTAGAGATCAAAACCGAGCAGCGCGGTCTTGCCCTCACTCGTCGTGGATCATTCGTCACAAGAGATGTACACTACCGCCGCAGCTGCCCCGATCTCGAAACTTTTCTTCTAGCTTTTTTTTTCTTGCAACCACAGATAAGCTGCGCATGCTTATGCTTTACCTAAGGTGTACTTTGCTAAGCGAAGCTGCTTTGAGGTGCTTTGTAACCACTGAACCTTAGGGTAGCTGATTTTCGCCGTCTGTGTTTTCCTTTTTTTCTTATTTTTTTAATGTGCAAATTAATCACTGCGTGTATCTTCTTTATAAGCTGCTATTAAAACTGATGTTTACATGGTTTAGACTTGCTACGATTATCATTTATTGGATACGTTCTAGATAGAAATCAGCCAATCAGAGGTCTCCAAAACCCACTAGAACGTATCCAATGACAATCGTCGCGTGTCAGAAACGCTGCGTGTATCTGGACAGCTAAGTGCTAGCTGAGTCTACATTAGACTAATTCGTTGATTTCGTCGTTTTTTGGTTCACTCTATACCTCAAACGTATATAGAGAGGAGAATTTATTTCTACCGCCCCTCCTTTGCAGACTTCGGCGGACGACCCCGGCGACCCCGGTCGGCAGGGCCGCTTCATCCATTGGATGAGTCGCGGGGACTCTAGCCGCGGCCCGCACCCCACCATGGCCACCTTCTCGCAGAGGGCCTCGCAGCTCGGAGACATCCTCAGGAGGGCGGCCAAGTTCTTGTCCGCCTTCGCCTCTGCACAGGTCGGTGAACACATGTGGATGGGTGG